GAGTGCCACAGAAGGCTGGTGGGTTGCCCACTTTGGTGTAAAGCACTGTGAATGGTGGGCAGAATTCCCTGGTCAGGTGGATTGCTGTGGAGATGGAATGTTGACAATTGTTGGCAAAGCTGCCTTAGGTCGTGTGAGGCACTGCGGCAGGAGGGAGGAAGTTTCCTCACTTACGTGGGACCACAGAGGATGGATAGGAGCTCCCCCAGCCACACAGGCAGGGTTTCCCCCAAAGAAGATGGGCAGGCGGAATTTCCCCAGGAAGAGTTGGACAGGATATCCCCTAGTGGAGGATGGCCAGACTTTCCCCAGCCTTGGCTTACGTTGCAGAGGGTGGCCTCTCCCAGCTGTGTGGAGAGCAGACGTAAATGCCCTAGGTTAAGGGGAGTGGTCTGGAGGTCAGCAGTGGCATGTGAAGGAAAAGTGAAAACAAAAAAAAAGAAACTAACCCAACTGGGGGGGTGGGGGCGGGGGGTTAGAGAGAAGAGAGGGAAACAAAAGTAACAATATAGCTGAGCCCCATTCCTTGAACATGGGTCTGGAGGGACTTAATCTCTGCCCCAAGGCAGTGGCAAGCTGTGGCTGTTCAGATAAAGCCCCTGCGCTGGCTCCAAATGACCCGGGATCTGGCCAAGACAGTGACGGGGCTAAGGTCAAACGTTAGCCAACCTCCACTGTGGTAAGCCAAAAGCCCCAAGCCCCTCAAAACCTAGTGGATCTGTGCCTTCTATCTTTATGATGCTCCTCCTGTGACCTGGCAATATGGTATTTCCCTCCTAGTAACTATCCTGCGCTGATTTCTGCAGAGTCCCTCTGGTATGTGTTACTCAGTCACCATCTTCCCAGAAGTCCTCCCCCTTCACTCTTAATAGTCTCAAGTTTACAATAGATTGTGTAACTACCACACAATTCCTTTGTTTATGTGGCATCAGAAATGCCCCTGTTAGACATCAAGGTCAGTTGGCACAACCTACTCCTTAAAGACAATATTTATTCTATATCCTGTTTTGGTGAGTAGTGAGTGACTGGGATCTTAAAAATTCATGAGAAACTATTGGTTTCTCCCTGTCTGGAGGAAAGAAGACTGAAGAAAATTGAAGATAAATGCAAATAATTAGTACACTGACCTAATGGACCACACAAACATAAGTTCCACAACCCTGGGACCAAATAAGCTAGCTGGTTGCCAGCTGCCATCACCAACTGCTCTGAGAAGGGATTGCATTAAAATCTCCTCCGTAGAGTAGGAGAAGAAAACATTGAACAAAGCTCAAAATCATAAAAGAAAAAAGGTAAACCCCTGAAACTATGGCCCTTACTCACCCGTCAGGTCTGGAAATGAACTCACCCCTCTGGCTCAATTTTCACCCAACCAATCTAGACAGTTATAGAAAGACCTAGAGTTGCAGTAACCCTAGAAATAGTAACCACTAGTGTTGCACATACTTCTTAGAATAATCAACTATTGAGGAAAAAATCAAGGAGCATTTGTAGGACAAAGTTCAGAAGAATTGTGAGAGAAGAAAGACTGTTGGTGGGAAACACATGGAGGACAGGGGAAAGTGATGCTACACTGGGATTTGAATCAATGACATGAAGCAAAATGAGCATGAATTGTTGACTGGAAATCATTTATTTTTTTAATTTACAATGAAAAGTTTTTAAAAATATCCCTATTGCTCTGTCATTTTATGATGATTGGATAATCATTCTATCCGTTTCTGAAAATACACAGGTGAATCTGTACCAGAATACCAGATGGCTTTTCAAACAGAAGTTGGAAACCACCCCACTTTTGAAGATATGCAAGTTCTGGTGTCCAGGGAAAAACAGAGACCTAAGTTCCCAGAAGCCTGGAAAGAAAATAGCCTGGTAAGAGAGAACTAAATTGTTAAAAACAGAACTTATGACTGAATATATTTGAATGCTGTTTGAAGAAAAAATAGGGTTTTAATAATGCTCATAGTTCTTAGAATTGCTTAATGTCTAAAAGCCAGTGTATTTGATTTTTAGAATATTACATGTTTTCAACATAAGTGCCATTTTTAGCAAGTTTAGTTTCAGTACTATTTAGAGAGACTAACTGATGTATCTGAAGTTCACCAGATTGGAATAGCAGCTGGAATAATTAACATGTTCATGTTTTAATATTATTGAAATGTCATCTTACGCTCTTGAAAGCAATACCAAAAATGCTAATTAGCACCTACCAACAAATGTAATGTCTATTAGATAAATAACCCTTCAGAAACAGTAATAGGAGTAAGGATTCTCTAAGGGTACAGGAAATAGGAGTGAGGCTTACAGCAATGATGACTGTATAACCCCACCTGAATACAGTTAAGGGAATTGCAGGTGAACGGATACATCGCATGGTGTAAGAGAGAGTAAATAATAATATTTAGCAATAGGGTTACTGGGGATAGTGGGGGAGGGAAGGGATAAAGGGGAGCTGATATCAAAGAGTTCAAAAAGAAAGAAAAGGAATCAAAACTGATTACAAAAAAATATGGATTATTTTGATATCTGTAAGAGCTCCCAATAAAATGATTAATTTTTAAAACGATGTTTACATATGTACATGCCTGTATTTAGACCTCTAATGTCCTTTGCCTCCTGGTCCTTTCCTCTGTTTCCTTTTTTTCCTTCGTGTCCCATGATCATGTTCAGCCTTCATTTGGGTTTCAGTAATTCCTCTTGGCTACATTGCCCTTGACTAAGCCCCACAAGGGATCCTATACCCTCCTCACCATCACTTTTTGATCACTTGTTGTTACCCTTGTCCCTCGGTGCCTGGGTATGTTAACACCCATTTCCTTTCCCCGGCTTCCCCCTCTCCCGTGTACCCCCACCATCCCCAGCCCAGAACCACCATCCTGTTCAGAATTATTTATCCCGCCAATCTTATCTAGAAAGACATGCAGAAATACAATATTAAGCACAAAAACAAGACAAAGCAAAACTAAACAACAAAAGAAAAGCCTATAAATAATTCCAGGAGTGTTTGTTGACCATTAGGGATGTTTTCCAGTTGAGTCTGATGGGATGCCATACCTTGGCCCCAAAGCTATTTCTGGTATTCCCTGGGGACTTTGCTCCCCTTGCTGTTCTGTTGCACACCCTTAGTGTTTTTCCCCAGTGTGATGGGGTCTGAGTGGGCACAAATCCCACACTGTGTCTCCAGTGTTGTCCCCTGTAGTGCTTTGGGTCAGTGAGGGCCATTGTGTATCATGGTGGGACTGGCCCTATAGTCCTCTCTGTGCATTGGCTGCTCTGAGCAGGAATATTGTCCTTGGGACTTGGTGGGCCGGGATGTGATCTACTCTCTCTCCTTCCCTCTTGGTTTGCTCCTTGTGCCCTGATCAGATGCAAGCTGTAGCTTCATTTCTGTCCTCTGAAGTGCATCCTTCTGGGGGGGACTTACCCTTTTTTTGATAACATGTCTATTCAAGTCTTTGTCCATTTCTAACTGAGTTATTGGTTTTTTTATTATTAAGTTTAATTTTTTTATAATCTGAATGTAAGCTAGATGTACTAATCATTCTCCACAGAACTTGTCTTCTCTTCTAATTCTCTTAATAATCTTTTGTGAAAAAGCAGAATGTTTTGATTTTTGTTGAAGTCAAATTAAACTATGTTTCTTTTATGGTCATATTTTTAGTACCGTTGTTTTAGTTCAGGAATCTGTATTGCCAGATATAACCATTTCATGGAATATAGTTACCCTAAAAATTTTACTCATTGTTCATCTGAAATTCAGTTTTGACCGGGTATCCTGTATTTCTGTTGTCCTAAATATGACAATCCTAGCCTAAAATTCAGCAGCTCTGGTGGCATAGTGGATACATGTTGACCGGTTAACCGGAAGGGAAGATCAGCAGTTCCAAACCTAGTTGTTCCACAGGCGAAAAATGAGGCTTTCTATTCCCATAGAATTACAGTCTCAAAAACAACCCACAGGGGCACTTCTACTCTGTCCTACAGCGTCATCGTGAGTCAGGATTGACTCGATGGCTTTAAGTAAACCTAAAATCATTTTTTTAAAGTGTTTAAGATAGAGAGAATGTAAATGCCAGAACAGGTGAAAAGTTTAAAGTATAAGACAAACCCTAAGGATTGTACGAGCCCCCAATAAAATGATTTAAAAAAAGACAAACCTGGATGAGTTCCCACCAAATTAGATAAAATATGTTTTTTAAGTGGGAGTTCAAATTATCCAGAAAAGAAGGCTGTTGTTCATTGGTAATAAATAAGAACACTACAAAATTGAAATTGTTAAAATTAAAAGATCATTTTGAACTATTTTTGATACTACTATTCAGAACTGGTTTAAAGACAAAGATGTCACACATTTAAGTTTTAAGATTGAGTTGAAGCCCTCTTGACTAAGAAAAAAGGAGGAAAAACTCACCTGCAGATAGAAGATAATCTGGCGTCAACATTCCATGAAACACAAAATGAAGTAACGTGAAATTGATGGCTGTTGATGGGCATAATAGTGTTCCAAATCTTCGATGATGTAAACATCCCTAACTTCCACAAATGTTTACTCTTGTGGGTATTTCCTCAAGGAGTTAAAGTTGCTTGTTTATTTCTTCTCAACTTTTGAGAAAAGTGATATTTTTATAATCTAAGACTAAAATATTTTACTATAACTACATATTTTATTTTACTATAGTTATATAAAATACTGAACATTTACCTTTCTCTTTGTTTTGTAAACTAAAAAGCTTAGTACAACTCTGTCTAAAAGTTAAAAATACTGTTTGACGAGCACTTTGTAATACAGGCAGTGAGGTCCCTCAAGGAGACAATCGAAGACTGCTGGGACCAAGATGCTGAGGCTCGGCTTACTGCCCAGTGTGCAGAGGAGAGGCTGGCAGAACTGATGATGATCTGGGAGAGAAATAAACCCGTGAGCCCAACAGTTAACCCTATGTCCACTGCTATGCAGAACGAGCGGTAAGAGCCCAAAATGCTTGAACAGTGCTAGAAGCGACCAAAGAACAGGAAGGAAATACTGCCAAACCTAGTCTAAGAGTGCACGATTAACTCATAAGGCCATACATCTTCTTTTTCTTTGGAATAAGCACAAGATAGAATATATGAGTTATGCATTGGACTGTTAAGCACAAGGGTAGCAGCTCAAAACCACCAGCCATTCTACAAGAGAGAAATGAGGCTTTCTGCTCCTGTGAAGATTTACAGCCTTTTTGTGAGTCAGCATTAACTCCATGACAGTGACTTTTTTTGAGAAAAATCAAGTAAAAGAGATTAGTCTTTCTCTATTAATGTTCTAACTTCCCTACTATAATAAAGGTAAAATATTTTCATAGTTCTGAAAATTTATAGACTCTTTTCTATAGATTGTCTTAGTTTCCTTTGGTTGTTATTATTCACCACTCTTTTTTTCTTTTTTTACATTATCTGTTTATTAAACAAGAACTCTTTCATGATAATTCAATACAATATTCCATCACTTCCCTCTATATACATCACCACTCTTTTTGGGGGGAGGGGCGGTGCTGGTTGGGGTTTTTTTGCGTGCTTTTTTGCTTGTTTTTTACAGAAATGAAAAATGAACCCACCTATACGCATATCTCATTGCTGTTTCACTGGAAGATAAGTTTTCTAGATTCCCTATCCTGTGTGCTATCTTACAGAATGTACTATGAATTTGACATAAAAGGCAATTTGAAAAGTTTTTCCCATCCTATCATGAACATTTTTTATGAAACATTTGTTAAAACGCTTGACTTTTGGTTCTAAATAAAAGGCTTTTTAAAAGTTTCTACTACTTGGAAATTGCAGACCATATAATTAATGTATGTTCTTTGGTCCATATTTTATATATATAAATTTTTAAAAATAACTTTCAATACATGCTGAATTTTTTAAATTAATATGTCGAGGGAAGGATTATGAGAGAAAACATAAAAATGCTCTGGGTTCTGGAATCCATTTCTTTACTGTTTTCTATTGCTCTGGTTTCTGAGCATAATCTATATTATGAACTATGATGTAAAAATTTGGTTACACTGTTTATTTGAATTAGTTTTAGTGTATAAATCCTTAAACTATATAAATAAGCCAAGGAAAGTAGATACTATTCTAAATATGACATTTTCCCATTATACACATGCAAGAACAATGTTCTGCTTCCATTCCCCCGTATCTCCATATTGTCCTTTGCTGTAGTGTACTTACTATTTGCGCCCCTCTCAAGAGCTGCTTTTGCCAAAGTGCTTCTGAGCTGGCGAGTGAGAAGAAGTCGTTGCTGCCTCCTCTGCCACTCAGCTCTCCCACCCCCTGCAGCACTTTTCTTCTCACCTCTAGTTACAGCTACAGTTTCCCATCATTGAACCCTACATTTATTCCCACCGTAGACTTAATTTGATCGAATGTTACCCTTCATGACTCCTTAGCACCTTTTACCTGTGCTGCACACTGACTTTTTCTTCTAACCCCCTCCTGTCTCATTGTCCTCGTGTCTTATCAGTCTGTCTTCTACCTTAACTGTTGATTTTTGGCTAAAATACTCATATCTAGTCATGTTTCCAGTGATTATACCTATTGTTTGCTTTAAAGCTTCCCCTGACTTTTATTTTCATCCAATTAAAAAATTATATATATATAATTTTAATTATATATATAATGTATATTACAGTGTGATGCTCAAGAACCATCACTGGGGCGGGGGGGGGCTATGATAGAGGAAACCCTGATGACTGCAGAGCAGCTTTGAATCTGTGATCCTTTGCTGAGTTCCCCTTCTGCCTAATACTCAAGGCTCTAGCACTTTCAATGCTGTTGCTCTTATGAGCCACCAGGAAGATAATAGTCCAGTCCCAGATGGTGCCTCTTAATGGAAATGCTTTGGCACAACCTAAAAGTTTATGGTTTTCATGAGTTTGGCCATTGGACCTTAACTGATAACCTATTTTTTTTTTGATAACCTAGTTTTTAAAGAGACATCATGTATCTAGAAATAGGAGAGTACAAAAGAAATATACACCACAGTTCTTCCTTTCATGGAGCTTAAAATCTGATTGAGCAAACATCTTTAATACATAGTTCATAAAGCTATATTTAGTTGATATTATGGGGAGATTCTTAAATCAACCATTGTAAGCTAAAATACCTAACATGTGTAAAAATACCTAGATCCACGTAGATTCTTCATAGGACTTAATTCATGTAAACTATTATCCCGACAAGTTATTAGCACTTCATAATTTGATTAGAACTTTCAAATAATGTGGGCCATGAATAAAATAAAACATAGCTCGGACTTTAAAATCAAAAGTGTTAAGCTTGGAGAAAAGCTAATTTTCTTTCAAAGTGTTAAATTTGTCATAAAAATACTGTCCCAATTATGACACCACTTTTTTTCTTTCTTTAAGCAACCTGTCACATAATAGGCGTATGCCAAAGATTGGCCCCTATCCAGATTATTCTTCTTCCTCATACATTGAAGACTCTATTCATCACACTGACAGCATTGTCAAGAATATTTCCTCTGAGCATTCAATGTCCAGCACACCTTTGGCTATAGGGGAAAAGAACCGAAACTCAATTAACTATGAACGACAGCAAGCACAAGCTCGAATCCCCAGCCCTGAAACAAGCGTCACCAGCCTGTCCACCAACACAACCACCACAAACACCACTGGCCTCACTCCAAGCACTGGCATGACCACTATATCTGAGATGCCATACTCAGATGAAACAAATCTGCATGCCACAAATGCTGCACAGCCAATTGGACCAACCCCTGTGTGCTTACAACTAACAGAAGAAGACTTGGAAACCAACAAGCTAGACCCAAAAGAAGTTGATAAGAACCTCAAGGAAAGCTCGGATGAGAATCTAATGGAACATTCTCTGAAGCAGTTCAGTGGGCCAGATCCCCTGAGCAGTACCAGTTCTAGCTTGCTTTACCCACTCATAAAGCTTGCAGTAGAAGTGACTGGACAGCAGGACTTCACACAGGCTACAAATGGCCAAGCATGCTTAATTCCTGATGTCCCATCTACTCAGATATATCCTCTCCCCAAGCAACAAAACCTTCCTAAGAGACCTACTAGTTTGCCTTTGAACACCAAAAATTCAACAAAGGAACCCCGGCTAAAATTTGGCAGCAAGCACAAATCAAACTTAAAACAAGTAGAAACTGGAGTTGCCAAGATGAATACAATCAATGCTGTAGAACCTCACGTGGTGACAGTCACCATGAATGGAGTAGCCGGCAGAAACCACAGCATTAACTCACATGCTGCCCCAACCCAGTTTTCCAATGGGGTAGTACCATCTGGCCAGACAGCCAACATAGTGGCACATAGAGCCCAAGAAATGCTGCAGAGTCAATTCATTGGCGAGGATACCCGGCTGAATATTACTTCCAGTCCTGATGAACATGAACCTTTACTAAGACGAGAACAACAGGCTGGCCATGATGAAGGTGTTTTGGATCGTCTTGTGGACAGGAGGGAACGGCCTCTAGAAGGCGGCCGAACTAACTCCAACAACAACAACAACAGTAACCCTCGTGCAGAGCAAGGTCACCTGACGCAGAGGGCTCCAAGCACAGCAGCAGATGCTGGACCGCCAAAGCCCAGAAGAGCACAGAGGCCTAATTCTCTGGATCTCTCAGCCACAAATATCCTAGATGGCAGCAGTATACAGTGTAAGTGGAAGTACCATTCATCTCTCCTGTTGTATCTTTTTGGGACATTTTATTAACTCCTTAAGTGAATCAGACAACATTTCAACCAGTGAATTTTTATTCCTGCCATTTGGGGAAATAAAAAACTATTGGGTCGTCCTCAAAAGTAATTAGACTAAAGAGAATTTAGTAAAAAATTGTCTTTGATAACTAAAAAGTTGATGTTATAGTATTCAGAATAATTCCCAATTCTGTATGTACTCTATAAAGCTCTTGTATTTAAGGCACCTTCACATACTTGCTATGGCTGATAGTGGCTAAATAAATAACACTGCTAGTACAAGTTTTAAAATAGTTTGTTGAGCATACAAATAGAGATTATATCTATATTAAGATTTTATTAGGTTTATATTAATAAATCTTCAAAACCCAGAGAAAATTCAGGAAAATGACCATACAGTTTATTGCAGTTTCTTTTTAGTAGCTTTTCCTAGAGTTTATGAGTCCCTCTTGTGCCTGTCGTATGGTGCTGTGGGCCCAATAGGAACTCTAATAAATGGATATTTGATTTCTGTCCCCCAAAAGATTACAATATAACCAGGAGAGCTTCAGGGTTTCCTAAAGTCTGCAGCAGTTATCATCCTGCAGATGCCCTCTCTCTCTCACTGACAGCACTCACGGGGTGCTACCTTCGGAGGTGGTTGAGGGTTGTCAATGGGTGAAAGGAAGGGTGCAAATACCAAACAGAAAAGGTCCTTTATCAAAGACCAGCCACAGAGCTATGTTTGAGTTCAAAGAAAACAAAACCCTTGTATGAGGAAAGGGAATTTCTGGAAAATTGATATTCTAATATTTCAGCCATTCTTCTGAAAAAATTTACATGCTAGGTACCTTTAAAATTTGATCCATGTTGAATGCTGAGTAGAAAAGTTAAGTGTCTTTTGCTCAGTTGGAAATCTATCAGAAATACCAAAGGATTTGGGATACAATTGAAAACATAAATTTTCATATTTTCTATATTGTTTTCTTCCTTACTCTATAAAATAATTCCATCCATTTTGGGGGGACAAAAAAAAGGTGAAGGCATTTGGCTTAAAGAATCTTCAAAATAAATTGGTTAGACTTTGCCTGGGACAGTATTGCCTGTGCGTTGGTAATCTCCTGCAGATACTGGTTTTGACCTGTTCTTGGGAAATTGAAACGTGAAGGCTCTACCTCTGGACAGTTTCTTTTTGTAAAGTGCATTTCCCCGTATTTGTCTTTGTAGTAGGCGAGCCAACACAAGATGGCAAATCAGGATCAGGTGACAAGATCAAGAACCGTGTGAAAACTCCCTATTCTCTTAAGCGGTGGCGTCCTTCTACCTGGGTCATCTCCACCGAGCCTCTGGACTGTGAGGTCAACGGCCACGGCAGCGACAGGGCGGTCCATTCCAAATCCAGCACCGCTGTCTACCTTGCAGAAGGAGGCACTGCCACAACTATGGTGTCCGAAGAAATGGGGATGAATTGTCTGTGAGAGATTTTCCATTTCCAGCCTACGCACCAAGTGAAATTATTTTTTGCATCATTTAAACATGCAGAAGACATTTTAAAAACAAAAAACTGCTTTGTCCTCCTGTCAGCACCTCCTCCCATCCCTTCAAAAAGGACTTGCTTTAAATAGATTTCAGCTATGCAGAACATTTAGCTTATGCTTTTTTATTTTATTTTTTAAGTTTTGCACTTTTGTTTAGTCTCGCGAAAGTTATATTTGTCTGTTATGACCACAGAATTATATGTGTGTGTATCAAAAGTGGTCTCAAAATATTTTTTTAAGAAAAAAAAAGCAAAAACAATGTATTGCTGATAATCAGTTTGGACCAGTTTCTAAAGGTCATTAAAACAGAAGCAAATTAATACAGGTTTGACTGCAGTGGTGTCTGATATCCACGTTTGTTTTTTTCTGGGCCCATGGTAGTTTATATGTTGCTAAGTCCCTGAACATATTACCTGTGGGATATTATTTCTTTCGTGTTTTGTCTGACAGTGCAATAGTCGATAGGCCCCGAGTAAGTGTTCTGGTGAGCTCCCTTCCTAGCAGGAATACACATTTTTCCATAGTGCAAACGTGATTCTGGCAGGTCCGTTCCAGGAGGATGAGTTTGTAAGGTGAAAGCAGTGGCCTGCTCTCCTGCTTCCTCTCTCTGTAGCATGGAGAAGGTTGGCACACTGCCTCCAAGGGCTCAAAAGAAGGAACTGCCAAAGCCTATTTGGAAATGCCTTTCATTTCTTTTAGGAAAACCTTCCAGATCCTAACCATTTCCTTCCAGGCATTTTAATAAACACTTTGGTTTCTGGTTTTGGAAGTTCATAAGAGAGCATAGAACAAAATAGAGGAAATCAAATTATAGCCCTTAAAGTTTTTTTTTTTTAATTTTATTTTTATATGGAAGCGCATATTCCTTATTCATCTATTTAAGAAGTACATTTTTATAGAAAATGTACAGAGTTATAACTAAATGGAATTTTTAAGTAGGTAGATGGTTGAGACAGTATCCTATTAATGGTTTCATTCTCTGACTAGGCCACTGTTAACTCAGTTCAGTTTTGAACCTGTAAGTATCTCTTCTTCTGTTCCCAAGAAAAGCCGGTGACTTTTCTGAAGGTGATTCCTCTTCCTCTTAGAATGACTAAACCATTTTGTGGAAAAAGTCATTTTCCGGTGAGGCCAAATCCTTGTGAAGGAGGGAAGGAATGCTGCCAAATCTACCTGTTGGAGCAGACCAAGAGGTACCTCTCTCTTTTCACCCTTGTGCACTTCTTTCTTTGCGAATCCTAAGTTCTCCCTTCACCAGCTTTTCGCATAACCTTCAATATGTGATCAGCATTTATTACGGGCATCACATTAGAGTAGGCCTTCAAATCCATACGTGTCCTTCAAATCCATTTTTCTAAAGCTCTTCCTGCTTCTTTCATTACTAATAGTCTTTTCTAAAATAACAACTTCTGTGTGGTTTGACTTTTTCTTTTTCTTTTTTTTTTTTTAAGTAAAGCACTTTGTCAAACACAGGACACCATATATATATATACACACACACATTATTATTTATCAACTTATAAACATTGATCTCTTTTTTTCTTTCCCAGGGCATCAGAGTGCTTAAAAGATGTTATCTGATCATGTTTCGACTCTCATTTCTCTGAAAAATAGAAAACTAAGAAGAAAACATATTTTAGACTTGCCATTTATCTTTTAAACCATGTTTTCTCACTCATATTCCGGTCTTTCTCATTTAGCTAAAGACAGCCTGCATTTTCCCATGTGCTCTCCCTAATGCTTGTAACTTGTATACATGCCTTTTCTTCCTGGCCGTATTACAAGTTAGATGTCATCTACTTAGCTGGTTTGCTGAACACAGTTTTGAATTCTTAGAATTAACATTCTTTTATGGTGCCCAGGATCCTTCCCTTTCATGTTTGATTGGCCTGTGTGGGTAGAACATTCAGGCACCACGCTCCAGCACAACTGTGGTTTATAAGCCAAGCCAATTACTCCCATGACTTTAGAAGTTAGGTAAACAGAAGAAGACATGTAGACATGTCTCGGCTGGTTGTTGCTTGAGAAACAATTACTAATTCAAAACAAATTTCAATCTCACATCTCCTTCAAGAGTCTTAAATCCTACCACTTCTCTTCTTGCCTAACACTCTTACACTACAAAACAAACCATGAAGTCCATGTTAAGGGGAAAGTGAAGGGAGCTTATGGAAACGGAGACTTTTCCCTCCATTAATTCCATGCTAGGTGTGGAGGAATCGATCTCACATGGATTTTTCAGTCTCGACAGGTCTTTGACTCCAAATGGAAAATTATCTCCACCTAGTGACTTTAGAGCAAACGGAGTAGGATGCTGAAATGATACAAGGACCTGATCTATTAATAAAGCAGTTTGGTATCGCTTTCTTATCTGTGTCCTCTTGTTCCAGGAAAAGTACATTGGTTCTGAATGTGAAAAATAATTGAGAGGAGAAAACTCAAGTAAATAATGTGTTTATATAGGAATAGTCACAAAAATTGGCAAGGATTTTGACTTGTAACATTTCCAAATCTGGCTTTTAATGCCAATTACAGTACCAGGGAGGCTGGTTCCTAATCTCTGTAAACCCCTCTTAAAAGTTACTTAGAATGGAAAAATAGCTCAATTAACTTTGTTTTCTTTCCTTTTTTCTTTTTGATATTTATAGATACGAATATTTCATTGGTGATGGTTTGCTCATTGAACCTGAGATTACATGTTTCTATACAGTGTTTTATAAATTTATGTTGTCAGTTATATGCAAGTTATTACACAACTATTCACAGATTGCTTTATCTTCCCAGCTAATCCCATAAAAGTTAGAATCTGTACACACATTAGTTGATTATTCTAGAAACTGTATAACACTCATAAATTCCCCAGGATATTTATAACTTCTAGATTCTGAACTATGCACAGTTTAGTAAAAACGACCTGCATGATTCTTACCAAATATATCTCCCTTTGTTTTAAGTAAATCTGGCAAATCACTGTTGAAGCTAGTTGCATAAAAACTGCTCTCAAAGTAATGCACAAGAAAAGAGACGCTCACGTGGCTCTCTGGAGCGCCTGCCCATGAGTTTCTCTGAATCCCTCATTGTCTGTATCTGACCAACCCTAGCCCTTGGTTATCTAACTTGCTATCTTCTGTGTCAGAAAAGTTTTCCTTACATGTATCCTGCGTCCCTCCTGTTTCATTTTAACTCTCTTTCTCTTACCCAGTCGAGAACAGTTGGTTTTGCTCTCCAACATAGTTATTCCTCTTTACGTCAGGCCTCTCAGATGACATCTGAGCCTTGCTTCTTCAGACAAAATTGCTTCGGTCCTTTCCTTCTCTCTCTTCTGTCATATTTTAATGGCTTGATTTATACTTAAAAACAAAATATGGTTGTGTCAAAATTCAATCAACTAGTTAATTTCAATAGTTTGATAAAATGAAAAATTCAGATATTACCATTTGACAGTGGATTCAACCATCAGGACTATTGGCAGAATCAGCACTTAAATTTTGTTTTGTATTAGCTGTTTTCTATTTCATTGTGGAGTTTTATAATTTTATATTCTCATTAACTATAACTACAAATCCATGCATATAGAATTGTATATATTTTTTTGGCTATTAAAATGTATAACCCATATTGCAGCAAACTTGGTGTTATAATTGAGCCACAAGAATATGTTACATGTTTCTTTGTGTCAAATATCAAACACAAACAGGCAAGATTTACAATACCACCCACCCACCCCCCAAAAAAGATTTACAAACCCTACAATAATCAGGCATGACCTAGAAACATTTTGTAGACCACTTTTGAAATACTTGCAACATAGACTGGACTGTAACATCATAAACTTTTAAGTGACTGGTTAAAATTGAGTATGTCTATAAAGAACATTTTAGGAATTTAACTCATGGTAGCTATATATTGAAAGTAAATCCTTGAGAAGAACTTAGGTTTTATTAAAGGTGTGCCCCAAGTAAACTTGTTGTACCTTGAGAGTGTAGTTCTGTTAGTGTGATGTTCATAGTGTTACTACTCAATGTTGTGGACATACACGTTGATTTCAAAAGCCTAATTTGAAGTCCAGAGTTTTAAATCTGGATGTGAGAGAGGGGGAATCTTTGTAACTAAATGACATCATTACAGTAATCTTTTAAAAAATTACTGTATATTAAACTATAGCTCGACTCTTCAATGTTTTAAAAGACAACATGTTAGTCCCTCCCCCCATTTTATCTGTGCTTTTAGATTATGGAAACATTTTCATGTTTTAGACTCATTCTATAGACAATATTGCTTAAATACTCAGGGCCCCTTCCATCCCCTTACACGTGAAAAAAGTTTACCATATATACTCAAGTATAAGCCGACCAGCATATCAGCCAAGGCACCTAGTTTTACCACAAAAACTGCATTAAAAATGTGCTGGAAAAACAAGGCTTTTACACGAGTATCTATGGTAATTGGTAGCACACGAGCTATTGATCCAGTTGAATATTTAAAAGTGTTAGTTGCACAGTTCATTTAACGTTTCATTTTATGATTTGCTATAATTTATATAGACATAATAACAGATTTCGTAATTCGTAAAATTTGCCCGGTTCCTTAATGACTTAATAGAGGGAATTACACAACTAATTGGCTACATGCTACAGCAAATTTAGGCCCTAGAGTTGACGCATCATCTTCAAACTGTTTTGTTCTTTGGTTAAATGGTTATACTTGATGGGACACATTTATTTCACTTTATATCATTCCATAATGAGAAAGCTTAATAAAGTAACTTCTCTAAAACAAAAACTATAACTTTAAGTAATAGATTTTTTTAAATGGTAATTTGGGATTACCTACCCAATTTATTTATCATATTGTCACATTGGAAATGTTATTTTAATCAGACAAGTTCAAGCTCCAAATGTGTATGCTGTATGCACTTAAACTCCTAGTGAAGTCCTTTCTAACCAGTCTTATCTCAGGCTCTCCAACTTACCAATCCTCTTAAATACATAAGGGAAAAACATTTTCAAAGAAAATTTAGTTAGTAAAGAGTAAATTACTAAAAGATGCCCTTCAAAAATTGTTCGTTGGGTCCCTGTTTGACATTGAACTGCTTTGGCTTCTGTGGCTTGGCTTTTTCTGGTTACATTTATTTATTGAAAGATTTTTGTATGCTCTGTCATTTTTGTTTCCATAGCAATTGTATACATGTGTATAAGCTGGAATCATCCTTAATTTTCTGTTGATAATTTTCCCAATAAGGACACATGGATAGTTGTAAAATACACTAACTCTTAGGGTGTTATTACAGTAGCTGAAACATGGAGATGTATGGCCGTCACACTTTTTCGGAATGGACAGGAGAAATATAAGCTATGGAGCATCATTTCTGAGGATGCTTTTCTGGAAAAGTCTGACAAAATTGGCAATTCCTCAGAACCCTCTTTCTTGTTAACGGGTATCTTTTGTTGGTGTGTTTTGCTCTTACATTAAAGGTAGAATATCATGTATGGGTTTATGATATTACTTTCAGTTATTTTGCTTTTGTATAAGCTGTCTGAGACCTTGCTATGCTGTATAAGTTGTGTTTGATGGATCAGTGTGTGTATGAAATAAAGCAAATCACTTTTCTTTTGTATTATCTATGGATGCCACTATGAAAGCTGACATTAAGCCACTAAAGAGTTTTCTATGAGTAATTGTAAGTAAGCAAATGCTTTGGTATCTATAAACCTAAATAAAAAGAATGTATTGATACAGAGACATTAGGGAAGATTTTAAGACAGTGCTTTAGGTTTAAAAAGGCTTGCTGTAAAATGGTGCATTATTCCACTTATTAAAGATCATATTAATGACAGTAATGTATCTTTTGATTTTATGAAGTCACCAGAAATTATGATAGCTAGTATTATATCTTACGTATTTGGTACTAGAAGACTTAAGTGCGCTAATTGCACTTCGTTACCAATGTGATACACAAAAAATGCCAACTTAATGTTTGGTAAGGAAGGGGTCAAGAAAAAGCGAGACTTTGAGTGGAGTGCCAGTGCACTCGGCGCTGGAAAGGTGACGATGGCGACGATGGCCGAGGACCAGGCAGTGCTGGATCTGTTCTGTGTGTGGCGTTGCGCTCCTGAGGCACAGTGAACTACACCCCACCTCACAAAATCCGTAGTTGGCTACTTGCTGACCAATCGCTGCTACTGTGTGTCAGACACTGCCAGTTACACTACACATGTTAGCAGAAATGTTCTCAATTACAAAGCATATGGTCTTTCCAAATGACGAAACTCAAGTTCAGGGAACTTAAAACATTGCCTGAAGCCACGGAATCGGTAACTGATGAGCTTCGGACTTGAACCGTCTGAGTTTAATGGCATACATTTATCTTCCTGCCCACAGAACTCCCCACACCCTTTTACTTTGAAATAGAGTTTTCAAGTTTTGGTTGTGGCAAAGAAAAATGACAATGGTTTCGTGAGTAGGTAGAATAACCAGAAACATACACGAGTCAATTTGAGGATGCTGAAAAGCATATTGAAACTCGTTTGGCTTAACATCTGCTTCACATCATCCAATAGAACAGTGGCCTACGCCAAAAGAGCAACTCTCAAAGCCAGGTGGTCGTGATGGGAGCTGGATAGAGCTTTTCAGGGGTGGGGCTTTGATAAGAGTAGAACAGTGGGTGGAAGAGTGAAGAGAGGCCTGAAGAAAGTTGGCCCTCAGGACCACACCACCACGGACGCCGTGCTCTGCTTAGAGTTGCGACTTCGGCTTGGGAGCCAAAGTCTCAATGCATAATGGATTATTCGGAAGCAATCCGACTACAGAAAATGAGACAAATACTATTTTGATATATCCTATTGTGTTAACACATCATGTGTTCACATCCTTTATTCCAAAAATAATATGCAGAAACATTTCACGTACCAGCTCTAGACATTCTTCCGGAACAGGGACTTTGTTGGATAAGTGACAGCAAAGTCCATTTGGTCTTTTTGAACAAGTAATAACTTTTTGCATGTAGCATTGTACTAGAGCAATTTTGGGTTGGCCCTGCCCTCTGACCTTGTAGGAAAGAATAACCAAAGAGTAGTAGAGAGAGCACCGCAGTAGCGCTGAGTGTAAATCAGAAATCTAATCGCCACCCTTCTCGTGTTGACTGCTCTCCTCAAGGCCAGGCCAACGCCAGAGCGATTCCTTGTCCCTTTATGTAACTAGATGAGCCAAGTGTCACTGCCGTTGAGAAAGTGATTGTTGACTCCCAGCAACCCCCAGGGGTTTCCAAAAGGTGGCAAAACTCAGAAGCTACTTCCTATCCAAGGAAAGAAACATTCATTTGATTTGTGTGTCTGAGAAAGAAAACACAAGTTTTCCTTTGTTTAGCAACCTTTCCATAGATTGGACCAATCCATCAGTTATGTAAGAAGTCATGGAATATGCACTTCTTCAGGGGAAAAAAGCAAATTATTCTCTTTAGATATTATGCATAACCAGAACTACTAGAATTTTTTTAATACAAAAAAAAAGGAAGTACAAGGTGTCAGCTCGCTCTCTTCTAAACTTCCACTGTTTCTACCTAGCTAAGTTTCAAAGCCTAAGGGAAACTATTTCGATGGTTACCTGGTCTTTTTTCAGTTTCTCCATACTCCATGTGAAGTTGTGCCACCAGTCGTTTGTGTCCATGATACCTTTTACCAGGTCGCTGACATCAGATAGTTCAAGATCCTCACCCTGACACTCCAGGTTGTCTCCCTTTCGGCAAGCCTGTCACTCTCCAGTCTTGGCCTCCACTGCCCCCTCTCCAGGTCATGGCAGCACTCGGCCTTTCACATCAAAGAGAAAGCCTCCGTTTTTTCTGTCCACGAAGTACCCATGTTTAATTGATTAATATACTGATGCCAAAGGAGGCATTTAATGAACACACTTCTTAGATCATCTGAATTACGCTTTGCATAAGAAAATATTTTCATTGCAGGCCGTGTAACAGGTTATATTTTGGGATCTGTAACTTAAACTTCGGGTTAACATTGGCCCTGGAGGACTGGTGGAATACAAAGAACTGAAATACACCGGCATCTTAGGTATTACAACCTGCATCCAGCAAGAATGGTTCAGAGTAAACAGGCTTGGAAGTTTCTTTGTTTTTTCCTTCAGTTAAAGTAAATCTTTTTACGTTTTACGAAACGACTTCTATTTTCTGACCTTGGCAGTAAGATGAGTAAACAGAAACCCGCCGCACCTCGGGGGTCCACGCAAGTCAATGCCCCATCTTGACCACTAGATGGAGATCTTATCTCAGGTTCTGAGAACGAGGCTGCCTCTCCATTGTTGCAAATTTGGTTCAAAACGTTTTCTTAATCATGAATAGCAAGTAAGGTAATCTCTCTGAACAAAATTGCATCTGAAGAGTCCGATAATTTTCATTGGCTGAGACGATCTGGGCTAAGCAGGAAGCTGCCTTTTCAGTCCAACACACAAAGGAAAACCGGTCCTTAACAAATGTGACACTTCATTATTTACACCTTCACTCAGATCCTGTCTTGAAATGTAGTTTGGTTTCTGAGACAATTAAAGAATGATTCAAGCCAAAGATGTTCAAATATACTCATGCACTTTAGCTTTTACTAAAACGTCCTCGAAGTCCACTCGATGGTATGTAAGGCTTTTGAAATCTTTTTATTCTTTTTAATCATTTTATTGGGAGCTCTTACAGATCTTATCACATTCCATAGTTTCCATAGTTCAATCACATCAAAGAGTGTTGTACAAATGCTACCACCATCAGTTTCAAAACATTTTCTTTCTTCTTTAACTCCTTGATATCTGCTTCCCTTTATCTCCTCCCTCTTCCACCTTACCCCCAGGAACTCATTGTTTTTTGCCGTATCTTACACATCCGCTATATCCATTCACATCAAATTCTGTTGTTCGATCCCATCAAATGGGTTGAAATATTTTGGGGGGAATTTTCTCCTTCCTCCATATATAGAACATGTTGATTGTTGCAATCCACATTGCAGCTTTGAGTTAATCCTAATTTATGTGCCTATTTTAAAAAACAAGTACTTTTCTCCTAATGCACTACAATGTCCACTTCCTCGTGGAACCAACCATTCTTCCTTGTTGGCATTTGACCCAGCAACTGCCAATCTGTCCCAACAACATGTGCAGCAGCAGAGCATTGAATAAAAAAGAAGACATTCCCTAAAGCGATGCTATCTAATAGGTAATGAGTTGGAAATGTTCTAGACCTACACTGTCCAATCCAGTCATCACCGACATTTGAAGTTTTGTTTTAAATTCACATTAAGATGCTTCCAGATGCATAAACTGACATGAAGCACTTCGATGTAAGAACGTACTTGGGAGTTCCAGGCGATAACTGACGCCACCCTAGGGATGCCGTCGTCGGAGAGTGTTTGACTCCCAACCAGAAAGCGGGTGGTTCAACCCCACTCGCTGCTCTGAGCGGGAAACATGAGGGTGTCTGCGCGCATACGATCTCTCACTTACTCATCAGAATGAGTCGAAATCGATTCCCACGGTCGAAAAGCTTTAGAGTCTCACAAAGTGGGACTCTACGAGACCACAGTCGGTTTGGGATTTTGTTTTCTTTTTTTGCGGGTGGAAGATGCAGTTGTTGATATCTCTTTTGCTGAAGATGAAAATTAAAGGTAAGGAAAGATGGAGACATCACTACACCTCGTCCCCTGGTGAACCCCGACTCTCCAAATCGCCAGCGGCACGTGACCGTCACAGATCGCATCCGCCTGCCTGGCTCTCCAGGGTCCCTTGGGTGGCCTATTTGAAAAGGTAGAATAATTTTCAGTGCTATTTTTTTTACTTAAATCTAACCCACTATTTTCTGAGTTCTCAAAAGCGAAATTATTTCCCCCTTCATCCAAACAGCCAAGCTGTTTCTACTGTAACACATTAATTTAAAGCTTAAACTTGTATCCAATTAGGACCTCTTTCAACATGAAAAGTCATAGTAACACCAAGACTGATACCCTCATATACAGGTGGATACAGAAACAAAAAAGGGTGGTCAACTCACCTTTTAACCTGTGAAGAAAACAAAAACGCCTTTGCACCCTTTCAAAGAGATCTACCTGGAAATATGTCCGATTCCTGGGTCAGTGTGGATTTGAAAAATTAAAACAACCAAGAGCTCAAAACCAAAACGCAACTTAAACTACCAGCGAGTTGGTGCCGACTCATGGCGACTCTCCAGGACAAAGTAGCACTGCCCTGTGAGCTGGGATGGTAACGCTGTACAGGAGCAGAGAGCCACGGCTTTCTCCCATGAAGTCTGGTGGCCTCAAACTGCTGACCTTGCAGTTAGGAGCTCACCTCGTAATCATTACACCTCCAGGGCTCAGACAGTCAAGAGTTAAAGCCAGGTGTGCTTTCATTAACAGCTGGACAAAAACCCTGGAAATAATTTTCCCTGAAGTATAGACATGGCCATCCCCCACTAGTTGATGGTACTGCGGTGGCTTGTGTGTTGCGCTGTTAGAAACTGTGCGCCACCAGTATTTCAGATACCTGCAGTATCTTCCGTGGTTTCAGGAGAGCTGCCAGATTAAGACAGACTAGGAAGAAAGCCCTGGCTTTTAAAGACCAAAACTTAGGTGCAACTCAGGCTGGAGTTGAAACGCTATGGCAGACAGGTGTGCTTCTCTTTAGGCAAATCTCCTACCTGAAAACCGAGCTTTATAGAAGAGAAAGTGATTCTTCAATTAAAAGGATTCACCAATACGTTCTTTTAAACAGCCTCTCTGGTACAAATAATCTTTTCAGTAACCTATTATGCAAATCAACAAGCACTTGTATAATTTTAGAGGGTGAAAA